GATGGAGGTCTGCTCGGACCCCCCATTCACTTTTGTCGGCTCGCCAACTCTGCGAGCTCAATCGATCGCTTCTTCTGCTCGGCCGCGGGCTGGGTGACGCGCCGGCGGGCGGTCGCGGCCGGGGCGATCGGCTCGCCAGGGGGGTTGACCTCCAAGCTGGTGTCTGACCATTCCGCCGTCCACGCTGAGCTGTGGCAACGTGCTGCGCGGCCGCCGACGGAGCGCCCCATCCCGAGGCGCATCTTCCAGAGCCCTGCTTTTAAGGAGCGCCTCGTGGGCATGCTCAGCGACGGCGATGGGGATATTATGACGTGGAGGCCTCTCTGTTGCGAGCGAGCATTATAAGCTGAGGTTGAAAGAGGCTGCCAGGGAGACCCGCGGCGTTCTCTCCCTCCAAACTTTTGGCGGGGCGGAGGCACTCCAGCTTGCTGCCTGCAGTATTTCGAGAGCGGTCTGGCGACGAGATGTTGGGCTCGCTCAGCGATTTTTCGACACCTCAGTGCACGCGCAAGACGCTCTATTGGTCGCGCGTCGCTCTGTGGCCCTACGACATGCGCCCACCTTTCAGCGGTGAGCTGAAGGGGTGCACGAGGCTGTCCTGGCAAAAGAGATCGCTGCTGCTGCGGCTGCCTCATCATCCTCTGCGCCTGCTCCCAGAGGATCCTTTTCGCTATCTATTGCGTGCTATGGATAGAACAGCTGCTATCTGGGCCCCGTTCTCGAAGCGCCTGGCGCTGGCGTCTGTTGCTGGCCCAGGCGGGGCCGTCTCGCCCCCTGAAGGTCGACATCGAACACTGTGTGACTACTGGAAACTTGTTTTCTCTGTGAAACCCGTGCTGACCCGGCGGCGCAAGCATGCCTCGATCGCTTTTTGAAATCTGCGCAGAATCTCCAGGTTGATATTTCCGCTGGCTCCGCTATTCAAGGAAGTCGCCAAGAGGGCCAAGCGCTCGACCCCTGGGGAAGACGGGTTGCCGTGTGCCGCATGGGTTGCGGTGGACTTCGCCCCCCCGCATGCTTGCCTCGATCTTCAGCTGGCTATGTCAAGGGCAGGCGCAACTCGACGCTGCCAGTGTCACCCTGCAGGTCTTCCTCCCGGAGGGCTCCGAGGCCTTCGACACTGCGGGTGGGGCCTGTGGGAGGTCTTCTGATCGGGTTCGGGTACTGGGTCTTCGCAATACTGACATGCAGATTTTGAGTTCGGTCGCGAATATCACTCTGAGGCCAGTCGTGGACTTTTTGGGCCCGCCATCCCAACGTGGTTTTATGTCGGGGCGCAATTTTGGGTATCGTATTCTCTAGCTTGACGCCCTGGGGCGCGTGGCATCTCGGCGCCCACTCGCGCGAAACAAGTTCCCCCGTCTCTGCTCGGCTTTGGCTACGGCCAGGCCTTCCTCAGCCTCTCCCAGTCCTTCCTCATGCAGCTCCCGACCGCTCTGGTGCTCTGCGAGGCGCTCCTCTCCTTCGTCGGGTTCCTGCATGAAGCTGCTCAAGGGGTTGCCTGGATGGGGGCGCTCCTGGGATCATTCAAGAGTGCGGCCTCCCCGGCACCTTGCGTGGGCTTGGACGAGCGCGTGCTGACGACTTGGGAGTGGCATTGTTTGAGTTTGCTTTGATCCATTTGTCTTGGAGGCCCTCCAGATTATGAAGTTGATTGCGGGGCTATCTATTCAGATTAGTACATGCGCCGCGGTTCCTTTTGCGGGCTCGATCTTTGAGGCTCTCCGAGGCGAAGTTCGGGATCTCCTGGGCCGATGTTCCTGAATGGGCTGAGTTCGCGATTGGAGGCTGCGCGCTGCATCTTGGCATCTGGCTCGGACCAAGCGCCACTGTTGAGCGGTGCTGGCGTGACCCTCTCGCCAGGGTTCGCACGGGAAGTCGCGTGCTCAGCCGCGCCGGTGCGGCCGCTGGCGTCAATTCTGTGCCGTGCCCGAGTCCACTCTGTTCTGTCTTATGTTTCCCAGTTTGTTCCGACGCCGCCCTCTATCCTCGCGTTCGAGAGAGGCGTCGTCTCGCAGGTCCTGAGATGCCCGATCGGCATGATCAGCATTGAAGCTGCCCCTTAAATCCAGGAGTGGGGTTGGCCTCGGCTGCCCGCGCGGGCCGCTCATGCTGCTGCTTCCCTACTTCGAGCTGCTGCCGTCACTTTCCGCGACTTCCCGTCCTACCTTGACACGATGAAGGCCAAGGCGATTGGCTGGCGACAGGAAGTTGCCGACGGGCATTTTGATGGCATCCCATTCTCCGCCGCTGTGCGGACGCGTATTTTTGGAAGGCGCTTGTGTTCGTTGGGAACCTCGACGGCGTGCTCATTCTCTCCTCCGACGCATGGATGGTTGCCGCTCGATCCTCCTTCTTCGACGAGCTGTCCTGTGCGGGTCGACGCCCTCGACCTCGACGTGCAATCGCTACCGCTCTTTCGGGCCTTCTCACTGCTGAGCGCGCGCTGAGCCGTGCCATCGTGCGTTGCCTGAGTAGAATTCTGTGCGACTACGAGCCCTTCTTGGATCGCGTCCACTGGAAGAGGATTCGCTGGCTCATGCGCCCCCTCCCACAAAGCTGGGCCATGGCAGCGATCAGAACGTGAACCAACGGTTGGCTGACGTCGGCGCGCATTGTATTCCCCCGCGGTCTACTGCGATGCCGCTACGGATGCAGCCGACCTGATCGGCTTGCACACTACCTTGTGCGCCCTCGGCTCCGTCACGCCACAGGTCGAGCGCTTGGTCGAGACTTACCTGCCCCACTTCCAGCACGCATGGGCCTCGCGGGGCCCAAGCCCGAGAGATTTGAGGAGATTTTTGTTGCCCACCAGATCTTCAACATGACCAGGGGGCGCTGCGGTACAATAGTCCCCAGGAGGCTTTCCTCGCTCGCGGCGGCTGCTGTGCGGTCGCTGCGTCTCTCGCGTCCTGCGCAGGCGCTGCAAAAGTGGACCCCCCGTCGAGGGTGCTCATTTGTTCCGCGCGAGTCCGCGATATTTTTTCTACGTCTGATTCCAGCACGACTTCCGACTCGAGTTCCTCGGGCCCAGAGAGTGATGCACCCCGTGACGGCTGGCCCCGACCAGTTCCGACTGCGGGACTTTGGGGAAGGAGCGTCTGTGGGTTCGTCTTCGTCGGTTTGCTTGTCACCACATAGTGTGAGCTCTCCACCATTGTCGTTGCCGAGCGGACCAGGAGTTGGGGGCGCCCTCGGATTGCCCCGTTCAGAACCCTACAGGAATCACTGTCATACTCCAACCCCTGCGCCGACGTGCTCAGACAGAACGCAAGTCCCGTCGTGGGTGTCGGGTTCGCCGTCGCCAGTTGCTTGTTGCAGCCGCTTTCCTCGTCGGGCGCTTGCATAGGCGTTAGATCGCAAGTCCCGTTGTCGTGTTCGGGCTCACCGTCGCCTTCCCCTGCTGGGGTCGCCGTGGTGTCTCCCACGATGGGCGTTAGAACGCAAGTCCCGTTGTCGTGTTCGGGCTCGCCGTCGCCGCTTTGCGGATGCCTCGACGATGCCCTGCTGGCCTCTGCCGGCCCGCCGGCCAAGTTGATCGGATCCGTCCATCCGCCCTCCCCTGCCTTCCCCGGTCCCTCCCTATCTCCCTCCCCTTTCTTTGCCTCCCTCGCGTCTCGGTCTGGGGACAGCCCGACGGCTCCTCGCATTCCCGTGTGGGAGGAGCCCCCGGGCACTGGGGCTGCGCTCGGCCACGCACGTTCTGGCTCGAGGTGGACGGGGGGGAGGGAGGAGAGAGCGGGCAGAGGACCGGACGGCGAAGGAACCCGGAGGCGGAGGAGGTTCAGGAGGGAGAAAGCACACAGGCACACATAGTCGTCGAACCCCCGGAAGCATGGACAAATATGGGAAGTGGAGGGGAAGACGAACATCCAGGAAATACGGAACATGTGGGGAATCCTGGGACTTGTGTCTTTACTATTCGTGTGTGTGTGTGTGTGTCCTTGGGCCCCCTCAGAGACGGAGAAACATTCTCCTTCCCTCCATCCAGTATATGGACAATATATTCAAACCCTTTCACATTCGAGGGAGATTCCAAAGCACCCCCGCGCCCCCGACATCAACGTTGATCTCAGCAAAGGCGGTGCTCTGGGGCTCGAATATCTCTGCCCACTCACGCCCCCCACCGTCGCCACGCCATCAATATTAACTTCAGGGGGTCTGCGGGGCATCTTGGGCCACAGGGCTCGAATGTGATGTTCACATACGGTCCCTCCCGCTACGTCTTCCCTTCGGTCCTTCCGAGCGCTCGCGAAGATTCGCCGCGTGCCCGTCGGCCGGGCCTCCTCCCGGAGCTGTGCGTTCACCGCTCACCCGTCGTGCCTGCATCCCTCCTCGATGGGCGGCGCTCCTCGAAGGCAACGAACTCGAACGGTAGCCTTGCCTCTCCTGCCCTTCTCCGCCGCCACTTGGGGCTCACAGGAGCTCCTTACCGGGCCCGTGCATTGGCGTTTTGCCGTTTTTCTGTGTGTCCTGCGTATTGGCGCTCCTCGAAGGCAAAGAGGCCCCGTGTACAGCCTGATGTGGATCGTGCCTTGCGTCTTCCTCTATCATGGGCACACGCTCGAGGCATGATAAAGCTCATTCGCAGTGCAGCCTAGTCTGTATGTGTTATACCGAGGGCGGTGTCTCTTCCAAGGGAACCCAGTAGTTCTAGGCCTCCTAGATGGAGTCCGAGCAAATGGGGTCGGAGGATCGCGCGCCGCATCGCCGATGCATCGGCGATGCGGCTCGATGCGGAGTTCGATTTTCCCCACGCTGACGTCGCTGATGCGTCGCCGACGTCCGCGATTCATCGGCGATGCATCGCCGGGGCATCGCCGCGGACATTGGCGAAGCGGCGCGATCCTCCGACCACATGTATTCGGCCCCCAAGTAGGGGGCCTCCAATTTCAGGGTCCGCGCTCTGCGTTCTCATGCCTTCTCTTCCCCCGTCGGGGTTTCTCTGGGAACTGGTATGGGTAAAAAGCGCCCATCCAAGGGGGACGCGCTTATGCCGTAGCCATGCTGAGTCAAGCCTGTCTCAGGCTGTCCTCAAGGATCTTGGCGCACACCCCCACACTCCGTGAAAACTTATCCTTACCTCGCTCGTCTTGTTGATGGCGCGTGCTCTTGTAACCGCCTGCATGGTAGGAGCCACCGGCGTGGCCGGCCTGGCCTCTGAGGGCGATCTTCAGCTGATGCAGGTTTGGAAGACAGACACGAACGCCTCGGGGAAGCCTTCACGGGTGTTTCGGCATGAAGAAAAGGGTCCTGGAGTTGTTTCCCAACCTTCTTGTGGTTCTCCGTGCTCGTCGTGAATCCGAAGCGACGGGCGTCTCCCCTCCTCGCCCCCCCTCACCTCCCCTGCCGCATGTTCATTCAGGCGCTCTATCACACGTTTCGTGCCCCTGGGGGGCTCCACCTGCAGCCCCGGGTGGGAGGGTTCGCATACGACGTTCCCCCGCCAATCACGGCGCACCCCTCAAATGTTTCGTGCCCCTGAGGGAGCTTCACTTGTGTCCACAGTGGACAAGTTTGCATGCATCCCCCGGACCATTCTGGCGCACCGTTCACACGTTTCATACCCCTGAGGGTGCTCCACCCACGGTCCGCGATGGATGTTTTAAGTTTGCACGCGACCTGCAGCCAATTTCGTGCCTCCTAGGGAGCTCCTCTTACGGCCCAAGCGGGAATGTTTGCACGCGCCCCCCCAACCAGTAGGGCGTACGCCTCATGCGTGTCGTTCCTCTCAGGGAGTTTTACATACAGCCCCAGAAAGGAAGGGCCCACACGCGCGCCCCGCTCAATTCGGTTCACTCCGCGCACGGATCGTGCTCTCCATGGAGTTCCACCTATTGCCCCAGTGTCAGGGTTCGTATGCTTCCTCCCAATTTCGGCACACACTTCTCACGGATCGCACTCCGTACGGAACTCAATTGACGGCCCCAGAGGCAGCTCTCGCATGCGTCCCCCCGATCATTTCGGCACATTTTTCATGCGGATCGTGACTCACAGGGAACTCCACCAAATTACAGCTTCAGCGTGGGCGTTTCTATGCTCCCCTCGGTCAGTTCGACACGTCCCTCGCTCGAATCGTGCACAGAGAGGTCCACTACCAATGTTGCATGAAGCTGCGAAGGGTTGAGTCCCTTGTCAGGCATTTTTGTTGGTTTCGGCGTTCTGGGGGGCCTGGGGGCTGCCAATTTACCCGAGGCTTACCCAAACCGTCTGCACCACGTGACAATGTCAACGGGCCCGCTTTTATGCGGATGGTGTCATGCCAAGGGACGGGATGTGTTATGTCAGCAAGCTGGGGGACTTGCGTGTTCCACGACTCACGGTAGTAATCGACTGACGCGGTATCATAGCAGATGGCAGCTCAGTGGCGTTAAGAGTATGTGATCGATCTTTTATTATTTTTGTTTTGCTTTCGGCGGAACCCCCCCCCCCCCCCCCCCCCCCCGTAGAGAAGTTATGGGCTGATTTTGGCACCTGCTTCAGTCGATCGGACGAACTACGGGGGCCGGCGCCCCTCCCCCCCCCCCCCCGTAGAAACTCGAATCGTTGATGTGTGCAACTGTGCGAACTTTTTCCTGTTATTCTTCTGGAACCAACGAAAGGGCTCAGGGGCGCCGGACCCGATCGCCAAAAAGCATGCCTCCGGTTGGGCCCTCCCCTGTTATGCCACCACGGCCTTGTCGATGCCCTTTTAAATTATCGATAAGTTTCATAAATATTGAATCGCTTCGCTCATTCCGCCGGCCCGTGATATGGCATCGCTGGTTTTTGTCTGTGTGTTCGTTGCCCATGTTGCGCTCTTGGGGGCGGGTGTCGTTCGGACGCGTTGCGTGGGGAGTTTTGATGGTGAAGCAGTTCCCTGGGGGTCGTCTCTCGATGGGGCGAAATAGAGTCGTCGTCAAGATGCTTCTTTGGGGGGCCTCTTGGGGTCTGTTGAGAGGCCGTTCGGGGGCGCCTGGGAGACATGTTTGAAGCCTTCTGGGGCTTCTTTTGGGCCTCCTGGGAGTCTCCTGGGGCCTCTTGGCGACATCTTGGGGCCTCTTGGAGGCCTCTTGGGGCCTCTTTGGGACCTCCTGGGCGCCTTCTGGGACGGAGGGCTCCATTTTTGAGTTCTCGGTATCCCTCCTGAGTCCCTCTTGGGCCCGTCTTGGGGCCTCTTGGTCCGTCTTGGGCGGCACTTGGGCCGTCTTGAGGGCTCTCTTGGGTCGTTTCGGCGCCGTCTTGGGAGCTTCGTGGGCCGTCTTGGAGCGGTCTTGGGGGCCTCTTGGGCCGTCTTGGAGCGTCCGGAAGCCGAAAAAGCCAGAACACAAAAAACATCGAACAAACCAATGAAAATCAACGATTTTGGCCTCTTGGGGCTCTCTTCGGAGGCCTCTTGGAAGGCTCTTGGGGCGTCTTGGAGGCCTCTTGGGCTGTCTTGGGGGCCTTTTGGGCCGTCTTGGGGTCATCTTCGGCGTCTTCGAGCGCTCTTTGGGCGTCTCGGGGGCCTCTTGGGCAGTCTTGGGGGCCTCTTGGGGCACTCTGAGCGCGCTCTGGGGAGCCTGAGAGGCCGCACCCAGAAGGAAAACCATCTCTGAGTAGACTTGGTCGGGCGGCGGTCGGGCGGCGGTCGGGCGGCGACCGGGCGTTGGTCGGGGTACTTTTCGCCGGGGGACCCCCAGGGGCCGCCCCGCGCGCGCGAACTAGAAATACTGTTAATACTGTTAACCAGTTACCGGAGATCTTAGCACGCCCTGGCCCGTTGGGCCGGCGAATTTGCTTTGTATTGTAATTGTTAGAAAGAGTTTGTTTACCAGTTTCACGCCTCATGAGGCTCAAATGTTGAATTTTAAAGCTATGTTGAAAATTTCAAGATGATTCAATCGGAGGTATTGACTACGGGACGAGAGCCGGACCCCCCCCCCCTCCCCCCCTTGCGCCAAATGACGAAACCCATTATACATAAACGCTCACTATGACACCGTTGCGTTGGGCCTCCCAGGCGCTCACGACAGTGGCGACGGCTGCGCAGGTAGCAGCACCCCAGGGAGCCGCGAGGCTTTATCTGAGTGTGCGTAGAACCTTGCCGCGCTGGGCCTCCCAGGAGCCGACGAAGGTGGCGAGAGTTGCGCCTCCAGGGAGCCGCGAGGTCTCGTCTGAATGTGTGGAGGACCCCATCTCGACAGGCCTCCCAGCAAACCTCGACAGGGGCGCCAGTTTCGCAGAATCCACCCCCAGGGGGCCGCGAGGTCTCGTCTGAGTGCGCGTAGGGCCCCACTGCGCTGGGCCTCCCAGGCGCCCACGAACGTGGCGAGAGCTGCGCAGCTCGCGGCCCCGCAGGCAGCCGCGAGGTGTCTCGTCGCGTTGCGCGTAGGACCCCGCTGCGCTGGGCCTCCCGGGCGTCCGCGCACTTGGAGCCAGCTGCGCAGGTGGCAGCACCGCCAGGGAGCCGCGAGGTTTCGTTTGCGTGTGTGCGTGTGCAGGGCCCCGCTGCGCTGGGCCTCCCGGGAGCCCACGGACGTGGCGAGAGTTGCGCAGGCGGTTGCCCCGCGTGTTAGGAAAGGTGCATGCGTGAGGTAGGCGGCTGGAAGAGGGAGGAGGAGGAGGAGGAGACGAGGAGGAGGAGGAGGAGGAGGAGGAGCAGGAGGAGGAAGATGAGGAGAAGGAGGAGGAGCAGTAGGAGGAGGACGACCAATGTAAACCCAAGGCGCATCGATGGTGCAATAAGCCCTCCGGCCACGTCACTAAAACCGTTGTTTCTCATTGCGGGCGGCTGCGAATCTTCGATCGTGCCGAAACCCCGTTCCTGGGGCTTCAGCGCCGCAGATCAACGTAACTGTTGCGCCCTGACATCCCTAAATCGTGCCAGAACACCGTTCCTGGGACTTCAACACTGCGAATCAACGTGACTTTTGTGTCCTGACGATCCTAGTTTGTACCAGCACACAATTCCTGAGACTTCGACCATACGAATGCAACCTGCAAATTATCAAGCAACCGAATGTGCGCGGTGCTAAGGCGATATCCGCATGTTGAAAATGAGCCGCCCTTCATCTCTGGATTTGTTGCAAACTTTGAAGACGAACGTAGGCGGCGCCAGGACGAGAGTCCACTCTCGAAACTACTGCAGACTTTGAAGACATTTGCGCGCCGCGCGGAGGCGAGAGCCAGATTTTGAAAGCCACCCGCCAACCATCCGTGAAACCGTTGCACATCTCAAGCTTCAGGATCATAAGTGGCGAGGAAGTTTCAGGCGAAACGCCTGGCCCGACCTGCCGACACAAGTGGGGACACGATACTTAGGGAGGAGTCATTTGTGACGAAAACGGATCGAGGAGGAGTAAGAGGAGGAGGAGGAGGAGGAGGAGGAGGAGGAGGAGGAGGAGGAGGAGGAGGAGGAGGAGGAGACGTGCAGATTCGCTAGCAGTGCCCGTTTCCAGACGAGAACCCAGGCAGAGGGAGGGCAGGGAAACGGACTCGGAAGAGGATGCTGGTCCCGGGGGGCTGCCCCGAGGGGGGGCAAGACCCGCCTCCACCAGGACCCCTTTCTCCTCACGCCAAGGCGGCCTTCTTCGTCGGAGGTTCTTCCTCGACCCCCATGTCGGGGGCGGCAGAGAGAGGGGTGATGACAAGGGGCGGGGGTGAATGTCATGGCGGGGGCCATGATATTTCCCCAGATTTCAGGGCGCCGCTTCTTATTTCATTACGTCCCTGGCCCCCCCCAAAGGGCCGCTCACATGCCGCCGGCCATGATTTGCACCCCCCCCGTCCTCTTGAACACCCCCCTCTTGGCCGGCCCCGAGCATGGCTATGCACGCAGAAGAGCGGGGGCTCAAGTCGGTGGTCTGCACGCTGAAGAGAGACGCCACGGAGGAGCAGGTCACCGCTTTCTGCAACCAGTTCCAGAGCCCGCTGTACACGTATCCGCCCGAGGTCCCTTTCTGTCACGGGTACGTGACGGAGGCTGGACTCAGTGCGGTACTCGAGCAGCACGATCTCGTGGTCGTATGCGAGGAGGACCCGTACCAGAAAAAGGCCTGGGAGCACATTGATCCAGAGGACAGTCCTCTGGAGCGTCGGACCTACCCATGGGGCGTAGTGGACATCAATGCGGACCAGATCCGGGGGCGGGGCGTGGGGGTGAACGTGTACGTGCTGGACACAGGCATCTACACGGCCCACGCCCTTTTCGGCGGCCGGGCCTTTGCTGGAATAGACATGGCTTCTACGGGGAGCTTTCAGGTCTGCGCGCCATCCAGCACAACGTGCGCCGCAGACAACAATGGGCACGGCACACACTGCGCGGGCACTGTGGGGGCCACGACATACGGCGTCGCGGATGGCGCGACGCTCTGGGCAATGAAGGTCCTCGATGACGCGGGCCTCGGCTTGACCATGTGGTCCATCGTTGCTGAGCAGTACGTTTTGGCGTCTGGCCTGAGGCCAGCAGTGATCAGCATGAGTCTCGGAGGCGTCGGCACCAGCACCTCGGAGAAGACCTCGATCTGAAAGTCCTTCGGCGACGGCCGCCGGCCCCTCGCCCCCAGGCAGCGGGGCGTCCCTCGTTGCCGTGGACAGTCGTCATCCTCCCATTCGCAACTGGCGGTTCGCAGTGGCCCTGGGAACGTGTACCCTTCGCAGTTTGCGAGGAGGCGTTGTCTCCGATGCTGTGCTCCTCGCAGCCTGCGAAGCATGGTTGCCTTGGGGGGCGTTCCGATATGCAAGGGTTCACGGCCCTGGACCGCAGCTCCATTGTGCTTTGTATTAGGTCGCGGCAGGCCTTGGGAGCGTGCATCCTTCGTACTTTACAAGGAATCGTTGCCCTGGGAGCGCAGACCCATCTTCCGTAGCCATCTTGGCTCAAGGAATTGCTCGAGGCCGGAGGTTGTTCGGCAATGGGAGGTGTGGCCCAAACTTCTCACAGTCTCACTTTCGAGACCGTGACTTCCGATCTCGGCCCATTCACGAGCCCGTTCCATTGTGCCCGATGTACCATGGGGGGAGTTGTGACCAGCGACGGCAGATATGGGAGTGCAGGTGGTGTGTGTGTGTGTGTTCACGGTCCGACTGGGAAGAGTTGGGTCAACGGCGCCGCTTGCTTGCTGTACCACATGCTCGACGTGCAAGGCCGCCGCCTTCAACGAAGCTAACGTACAGGCCGAGCAACCCTCCATCTTGAAGCGGAGTGCAGGCGAAGGTAGCGGCGGCGGTGGCGGACTCCAGCTCTTCAGGAAGCAGGTGCAGCAGTTGTCAGAGCAGCTGCCGTCCGAGCGCGGAAGCGGCACGCCGCCGCGCCCGTAGCGGAGGCAACGGCAGAGGACAGCGAAGAGGTGCGCACAATTCAGGATCGGTTGGCGACCATCGACGGGGTGCTGGGGTATCAAGGACAACCGCAGTCAGGAGTGCATCGTTTACTTCACGAAGCTTGAGGCCAAGAAGGCCGAGAAACTATCCACGCCTCGAGGGCACCAGCCGCTGCACCAGCAGATGTCGGCACTTAATGACAAGCTCAAGCGGACATAACAAAACGCCACGAAACTCGACGAGGCGGGGGCCAGCACGCAAGCGTGGAGGATGCTGGCGCGCGCAGCAGCCCTGGGCGTCGAGCAGAAGATTCTCGAGATCGGGGCCAGCGCCGCCTGGCCTGTCGAGTCCAAGAATGAGAATGGGCAGCCCGTGCTGCAGGTCATTGTGGGCATGGTCCAGGTGGAGCTCACTGAGTTGAGAGGTCCAGTCGGTGGGTGGGGGCCAAGACCTGGTATTGACAATGGGCTCACCGAGCTTGGTGAGAGGCATGCCAAGACGCCGCGCACGAGCGGGGCGGTTCCATCGCAAGCTTCAGTATACAACCTGCTGCATTGCAAAGTGCGGATTGCAGAGTTCGCGCAACGGGGTTCCTGTTAGGCGGTGGGGCCCCATAATCATGTTACAGAGACCACCCAGGGTCGCTCAGGAAGGCGACCGTGGAGTGCTTTTGGAGGAGGTATTGGGTGGAATCGCGATTCTCCGGTTTCTCCATCCTCCCGCGTAACATTATAGTAGCCCTACGTGGTGAGGACCAGAGAATCGCGATTCCACCCAATACTTTTTCCAAACCATTATCCGGTGGATTTCCTGCGCGACCAGAGAATTGCTATCGCGATTGCAGAATCACGATTTGGCTGAGGACTTCCGCTTCACAACTTCTCTTGTCCAATTTCTAGCCGCCGGAGACTTGCGATTTCGTGTGTCAATGTATCACGGGGCATAACATCTGGTTAGTTCTTCAGCTTTCGGAAACTAGCGCATGTCCTCGTTTGAAAATCCAGGGGCTTGTAGTCGCCAGCAGACGCGGAGAGCATCAGGGTGGTCAACGGCTTCCTAGTGCAGGCTGGTTTGTCAGTTCCCGAAGGCGACGGGGGCGTGCTCAAGGCAGCGCGTGGCGTGCGCTAGGACATGCATCAGTTCTCGCCTTATGGAAGTCGCGGTCGGGATGGCTGCGTTGACGGTGACGTGCCCCTCGAGGCAGACAGTGCAGCGCCAGAGGGGAAGCGACGGCTGGGGGACAAGTCCACGCGGTACCAGTGCGTCGACAAGTGGGCGGCCCCGCCCCTAGGATTGCGGGGGCCGCCCCGTGGCGCGAGTCCGAGGAGTGCGAGCGGCAGCAGGTTGGCGACGCCGTGCTCGCGGCGCGTTCCCTGTTGGCCCCGCGGCGCGGAAACGCTGGATGGGCGGAGGCGCCGACGACGGTGCTATTCGCGTCGAGGGCAGCAGGGGCGTCCTGTGCCAGTGCGGGCGCGCCGACGCCCACGGGTGGCCCGGCCCCCGCGATGGCGGGCATTGCCCAGTGGAGTGAGTCCCGGGAGAGCGAAAGGCATCAGCCTGGTGGAACCCTGCCCGCGGCGCATTTCGCGGTGACGCCGCGGAGCGAAACCGCTGAGGGGGCGTCGGCGCCGACGGCGGGGCCATCGCCATCGGGTTCAGCGGCCGCCTGCGAGCAGCGGGGGGGGCGTCCTCGACGAGCAGTCCAGACGCTGGTTCACGCCGCGCCTCCTTCGGCCGCGTCGCCAGGAACCAGGGCCGAGGGCTTGTCTGCCACGGCCAACGCGACGTCGCGCGGGCCCTTGGGCGACCACCTGGCGGCCAAGCCTGGGCGCGCAGCCCCGGGGGCGCAGGGGCGTCGCGCGACGGGGGGCAAGCTAGACAGCATGCCATCGAGGCTGCCCGACATCGGGTACCATGGAATATGGGCGCCCGGTGTTGCCGCGAGGGATGGTGGCGGGTCGATGGGATGTTGTGCGGTGACCTGCTAGAACAACGTTTCAGTTGCAGACATGCCTGGACGTGCGTCTCTGATCCCAGAGGGAGCTCTGTCGGCGGCGCCGCGCGTGCGATGGGGGGTCAGGTCGCGCCCGTCTCACGATGTATGCGCGGCCGAGTGCGGGGCGCAGCCCTGGGAACGCGGCTGCCCTGCGTGTTCTCCTTCATTATGCTTGCGCCGCCGACTCCCCATGCGTGGGCTGGGCTGTGCTGGGTGATTTCAAATAGACGGTGGGCGAGCTCAGACTTGATGCCGTCGAGGCGAAACGGGCAGCGCCATTGTTTTCGCTTTGCTCGCTGCAAATTTCGTCACTGGGCTGGGGGCGCTAGAGACGGGCGAGGGCTGCGCCGCGTCGCCCCGTCGTCCACTCGCTTCGGCGGGGGGCGTTCCCACGCGGTGCCTGTGGCCCCCCGCCCATCCGATTGGAGCGGCGCCGTCGACGGGCTGCGCGCGGCCGCCGCGGGGCTGGGATCGGGTGCGAGTTCTAGTCTAAGATGAATGTGACCAGGGCAGTCTGCCGGTGAGTTGGGGCGCTGCTCTGCTTGAGATGGGAAACGAGATGCTCGATCGATCGCTGGGGCGTCGCTGGCGCTCGGCGGGGGCGTCGCGTGGGCAGGGCGGGAAAGGCGGCGGCCAAGTGGGTGGCCAGACAGTGGGGGCCGCCAGGTATGCGTCTGCAGCAGAGTGACGGTGCCCGAGCTTGGAGCACATCAGCAAAGCGGGCGCCCATAAAGAGCGCAGGAAAACGTCGACATGCTACAGTCGTCGGGGGAAGTTGGTAAGCTGCCGGGACCATTTTGCGACGTCGTTGTGGTTCTTTCAGTGGAATTGCAATCAGTCTTGATGTGGGCGGGCAGGAAGCATGCGACGCTTATGCGTCTGCAAGGTTAGGTGCAAGCACGTTCCTGTCCAGGGCTGGCGGTTTTCAAATTTGTTGATTCTGGGCCCCGACCGAAGAGCCGCGGGCGTATCAACGCCGACTGGTGTGTGCGAAATACGAGGTGGAAACAGTGGGCGCTGCAGATGTATTCAGGAAGGAGCGCAAGCGATGCGCGAAGGGCTAGCAAGTTCAAAGCGCTACGGGGGGCGGTCAAAGCGACGGCGCAGGGCGCGCCCTGCCAGCTGGCAGAACGGGAGTTGTCGGTGCGTGAAAAGGCTCGCGGGCGCCGCGGGCCGGGCCCGATGCAGCTTCCTCCTGACAGTGATAGGCGGGGGGAATTGGTCGAGTTGACGGGGCCTGGGCTGCTCGAGGGAGCTGTCCGTCAGTGCGCGGATTGCGCCGGGCCCAACGCGCGTCGCGCCTGTGGCTTTTCGCCGACTCGCCCATGAGGGATTGCAGACAGTCGCGGCTCTCTTCGATCGGTGCGAGAAATTGTCCGCGTGGCCTGATTGGCAGAACCATCAGTGAGTTGGCGCGCCTGCCCCGAGAGAGCGCGGGTGCCAGGTTCATTGCGCCTGCCCATTCCATGCCGCGGCTGTGGGCAAGAGCTCGGGCGCCACTTTCGAGGCGCTGGCTCAATTGAGCTGGCGCCCCATGCGCCTGGGGCAGGGGGCGGGCCAGGGGGGTCATCGACCGCGTCGGCTTTCTCGCGCGACATGGGGGCTGAGCTCGCGGCCCTCCTAAGTGAGAAGCTCTAGATGCGCGCAAGTGCTTCGTTTGCGAGAACCCGCGCGCGTTGTTGGAAATTGTGGTTGGGTGGGAGGTGGGCGCAGCGTGGTTTGACCGATGGGCTCGTTGATGATGATATTATAATCCCACTGACAGCCGAGGGTTGTCAAAGCATTCGACTCTTGGTCTTCGCATTTTTTGCGCGACATATAGTGTCCTGGCCGGGTGCTCACATTAAACGGCGCTTTTGGTTCTCCTGGCGCGCAGGGTGATCAGGCGGCTGGCCAATTTCAACGTTGTTTCACGTCCGTTGGTGGACGGCATCGCTTTGCAACTGCGCGGTGGCAACGTCCTGGATGTCGGTGAACTCTTCACAGCAGTCAAAGACTTCGTTGAGCTTGCAAGAGGCTTGGGGCTCATCCTCCAGATCGACAAATCCAGTGGCGTGGCTGGCTATCTCAAGGCCAATCGGGCTGCTGAGCTGCTTGCGAAGGATCCGGGCATACTCGCCAACTCTTTGGCGAGGAAGTTGGGCCACGAGTGGTTCGGCACAGGCCGTCGCAGGCGCCGGGCAGAAACGATATTTGCGAAGA